GTTCCCCCCTCCTACCCCCAGTACTCTCTGAAGCTGGAGAAGGGTGACTACACGGTGCGCCTACAGGTGCGTCATGAACAGGTCAGCGAGCTGGAGCGGCTGAAGGACCTGCCCTTCATCGTGTCCCACCGCCTCTCCACCACGCTCAACCTGGACGTCTTTGAGACGCACAAGAATGCTTTGTTGGGCAAGAAGAAGGCCAACTCCCTGACCCTGCTGCCCGGCTCTGCGCTGCCCTTCTACGTCACGTTCCTGCCAGATGACAAGTAAGGGCTTCCAGCCTCTTGTAATTAAACGCATCACCCTGGTCACTTTGGGAGAAATCTTACCAAGTCTTTACTCCCATCAGTGGTGTGTTCCTTCCTTTATCAACGACTGACTCAAGCCCACAATGTGCCCCCACAACTCGGTTCCTGTCTGGTCTCAGTCCATGACTGAGGTCTGTTGGCGGTGGTGTCGTGGTCACGCTTCGACCACCTCCCAAAGTCGCCGCCTTGCATCACTTCGAGCTCCGCCGTCTTTCAGCCGTATCTCGTCTCTCCCAGAATTCCCAAAGGGACGGCGCCGGGCTGCTATCTGACGGGATCGCTGGTGCTTCCGAAGAGCGAATACGGAAAGAAAGCAGTGAGTGAACCGAGGCGATCGTCCTCCAGCTTCCGCCCGGTGGTCTGTGCGTGTGGCCTAGCCAGCATCCTGCCTGCCTGCTGCCCTTCTCTGCTCTCTGTGTGTGTGATCAGTGCTCGTGGCTGCCCCCTCCTGTCGAATGCCAGGCTTCCAGGTTTCTCCATCTCTAAAGCTCTGGATCCATCTCGGTCCTGCTTTCACGCGTGCCGCCTGCGGTCACCCGGAACCAGGTGCATGTATTGTAATGGACAGTCTCTGTCGCTAGGACTCTGCAGAGTGCCTGTGGTCTGTCACGGTTACGGGGCTTGTAATTCATGTTGTGACAGTAGCCTGCTAATATGATCCACGGTGTCTGTGTTTCCTGTTCCGTGTTCTCCGGCAAGTGGCCGTCAGATACAGAGAGATTTGAAGTCGGATAAGACTTGGTCCCCGTCACATGACTGTGCTTGAAATGTCCACAAGGTGGTGCTGTTGCACCAGAAATGGCTCTGGCTTTGAAACTTCACTCCCCCATTTGAATTAAGAGAAAACCTTCTCTATAATATTAAAGGGTGGGGGGAATTTTAGAGGGATGCAAGAAAATCTGGACAGGAGATTAACTTGCCTGTCTATACTGCTTAGCAGTGCCTGGAACGGACAACAAGAGTGTAACGCGTTTTAGGAGACGGAGTATGTATCCATGTGTCTGCCTGTTACTCACTCTGTGTTATTCTGACCACCAGGGCCAGGCCTCAGCAAAACGGCAAGGGAAGTTTAAAAAGGTACTGGATGGTCGAGTTCTGTAAACACGCAGTTACGTGAAGGGCTTCACTGAGAGTGCAGATGAGCGTCTCTCGCAGGTTGCCTCCTCACTCACAGGCAGGCCAGCTTGTTTATCATTATATTCAAATTATTCCGGGGCAGAACTTTCTGGCAACGGTGGGGAAGGGTGGGGTGGGGGGTCAGCCAATTGCATTCCAACTTTGTACCTCCTAGCTTCATATTTTTATTATTATTATTATTATTATTATTATATTTTTCTTCTCTCCCCTTCCCTGGCACTGCGCTAGGCTTGTCACCATGATAAAGGTTTTACCTTGTTGTCATGGCAACAGGCCACCCCTTGGGTTGAGCAGCAACTGGGCCATGTGTCACGGTTGCTCCCCGGGCAAGTTAATTTGCCCCCGTCATCCGTCCAGTGGTCGGTTTTTAAATGATTTCGTTGCACATCAGGATCACATTTCAGCTGTCGAATGTTGTGCAGGGTTTTCCGTTACAGGAAGGGCCGGTGGGCCTCTCCCACTGTGTTGGGTACCTGGTCCATGTTCTCTAAACACGTTACAATGCACCAGGGTCTATGATAAACGCATATTTATACCTGGAATCATGGTGCGTTGGTGTATAGTGAACCTTTTATTAACTGCACTGAATGTTCTGTTACTAAAAGCTTCTATCTTACACTGGGGAAACAGCCCTGTTGATTGTGTCCAGGCTGTTAGGGACAGAGATGCCGTTTTGGTGTTGAGGCTGTGATGCTCAGGGGCAGTGGAGTCCTGGGTGTTGAGTAGGTCATGCAGAGTGTGCATCTTTGTTTCCCACTTCCGTAGGACATTGTGCCCGTCTTCTACCATCTGATACCTGCGCCCAATAAACCGAAAAATGGAGGGAAAGAGAAAGACAAGGACGGAGAGAAGGAGAAGGACGTCAAGGAGGAGTTCATCGAAGCTCTGAGGGACCTTAAAATCCAATGGATGACAAAGTTAGTGTTTGTGTTAACAAGCGAGGCCGTTCATGTGAGAGCTTTCAGGCCGAGGGCTTAGATTTCCGTGCTCCAGAGTTGATTCTTCATCCACTGTCTTTTTTTTGTCTTAAATATCTCCAGGTTGGACTCTACATCTCTGTATGAGGAGCTGAGGGAGAGCTTCTCTTCCCATCTGCCCCTGCACGTGACGCGGCTGCACCAGCTGGACTCTGAGAAGGTACCGCTCACGCTGGCGGGGGAACGCTTGCTTTTCACAGTGTGTGTGTGTGTGTGTGTGTGTGTGTGTGTGTGTGTGTCACTCTCTCTCACGCACACGTACCACCATCCTGTTCTCATCCTGCCTGGATCTCGTGTGCCCCGCAGGAGCGCCTCAAGCGCCTGGGAGAAATCGTAGTGGCGGCCGATCAGGTCATCTCCCACATCGACCAGACGGCGCTTGCCGTGTATTTCACCATGAAGACTGACCCCAGGCCAGAGGCGGCCACCATTAAAAGGTACCGTGCCTCGGCTGAAGCTAAAGACACTGAAGTATACTTTTGACTTTGTTAGTGTACAGGCCGAACTGCTCTGACTGATCTGTAGCCCGCCTTGGGTCTGGCTTTAAGCTGGAAAATGCCCCCTGCTGGTTGTGGCCAGGAACAGAAATGTAATTTCAGCCGTTGTGAAGGATTGTGGCTTGTTGCGTTTTGGTTAAGAACATGGACCTGAAGGTTGCTGGTAGCCTTGAACAAGGTCATCAGTCTGAATTGCTTGAATTAAGTCTCCAAGTGTTTAAATGGGTAATATGGCCTCAATGGATGTGTATGGCCTGACCTCTACAGCGAGATGGAGAAGCAGAGGTCCTCCCTGCTGGATGCCTTGTGTCGGAAGGGCAGCGCTCTGGCTGACCAGCTCCTCCAGCCTCCTCCGCAGGATGGGGCTAGCGCTGGTGAGGTGGGCAGCTCTGAGGATGACCCAGGGAGTGTGGTCAAGTCCCTGGAAAACAACTACTGGGAGGTGCAGAAGTGGGCGGAGCTCACAGATTCAAAGGTAATCATAGCGGCTAAGGGAAGGGGCGGGGCTTTGAAGTCGCTATGAACTGTAATGCTAATTTTGCTTTTTAATTTATTATTGGTATAAAAGATTTTAAAAATTTGGCTTCATTTTGTATACATTTTAAATTCTTGGTAACATCTCAGTCTGTTCCTCCTCTCTTGAATCTATTGACTCAATTCTGAATATCCTCTCAATCTTTGCAGGTTTTATTGTTTGCATACAAACATTCACTAGCAAATAAAATGTACGGCAAGGCCCTAAAGTATGCATCTAAAATGGTAGAAGACAAACCCAGCAAGGAGACCTGGAGAAACTGCATACAGGTAAGTATTAGGATGCCCAGAACTCAAGGTGGATGGGTGTACCGTGCACTTCCTGCTAGCGTTAGCCTAATGGGGCTGATGGGACATTGCTGAAGCTACTGATTGACAGCTCCTATATCTACCTTAGACATGTCTGTCTTTTCAGATGATGAAGTCTCTTGGCTGGATGCACTGTGCCTCCTTTGCAGAAAACTGGCTGCCCATAATGTACCCTCCAGACTATACTCCCTTCTAAACAGGGGCTCAGTTGGCATGAAACGGCAGGCCGCAACACACAAATCCCCGTATGAGGCTAATGCAGCGCATGAAAACCCAGCGTGCTGAAGTGTGGCGGTGAGGTCGCCAACCCTCCCAGTTTTTACCTGAAGAGTGAGCCCCCCCCCCCCAGTTGAATGGGGAGAGAGAAGTCCAGCCTCTTCTGTTTTTGTTTTTTTTTTTTTTTTTTGTTACTTAGCTGATCCTCTCATCTCCATGGCAACTGACATCCCATTCAGGTGCTGGCAGTTTCCACATCTGCGTCTCGAGACAACTGGGCAATAGTATGTTGAAAGGGGAATGCCAAATTTTAGCTGTCTCTATCGGAGGGGGGTTACACGTGTTCTCAAAAAAATGTTAAAAGGCAACATATCTGCCCCTAGTATTCGTATGTATGTATGTATGTATGCATGTTACATGAAGAAGGATTCACAACCTTTGTCTTTTTAGAGTAATGCCTTTTTTTTTTTCTTTTTTTTTTAATTGAACATAAATGACCAATCCTTCATTAAGCATGGTATCAAGTGTGGTTTTTACTTTAACAAAAAAAAAAAAAGACACAAAAAAAAAGTTTCTTTAATCTGTGCATATCAAAGGTGTTTAGCCAGTCGGGACATTTTTTTTTTTATTATTTTTTTTTAAATGCCAACTTCTGTTTGCTGGAAATGTTTATAGAATGTGGAACCTGAGGGGTTCCTGACTGAATGCCAGCGCCTCTCTGTGGGGACTGTGGGAAGCTTTACGACAGCATACCTTATTTAGCAGAAGCAAACAAGCCATAATGCAATAGCCGCACGCACATCACGAGCAGAGCAGAGCCTGGTGGGTCCCCCTCCCCCCCCACAGGTTAGGCTTCATGGTAAACCGTTCTACAGAGTTACCTCATTGTAGCAACGTCATGCCTCTCTATAAATAAACTGTATTATCCAGACTACGCTGGGTTGGATTGACATGTCACATGGCCTTAACCTGTAAGATGCTAAATCAAAGCCTGTGTCACTCATACCATTTTAGAATGTGTATTTATGAAAATGTTTTATTTATAAAAAAAGGTTGAAATCCCATATTTTCAAGAGCAGATGCAGTTCACATATATACAACTATGCTCTATTTCCCTTAGCAACAGGAGAATTTACATAAGCTGTTTTACTACAAAGTATGGGTTCTCTGAAACAATTCAGAATAAAATTATTTGAAAATGAGTCTGTCTGTCATGTGGTCTCAATTTAATTCTAGCAGTCTGAGTTTTTAGATTCAGCAAGCATTTATTTTTCATTAAGTGTTTAATTTTGCCAATTACAAGTGAAACACATCAGCCTCAAAATGAATACCCTTCTGTCTCTTCATATACAAACAAGCACACCATCACCACATTCTATGCGTTAAAGGCTATAAAAATTGTAATTTAAAAAAGGGATAAACCTGTTGGAATGTAGATAGGGGGTGTAGGAGGAGTCTAAAACCAGCACAGGCACAGTGAATGCTAGGTGAACACGTCTCACTCCTCCCGGCTCCTGGCCATGAAGATCTTCACCTCCTGTTCTGGGAGGTCGGCCAACAGGGTAGTGTGGAAGGCCTGCTTGAAGTTGTCAGTGAACCGCAGGTCAGTCTGGAAGCGGATCTTATTGGCCCAGACCAGAGTTGTGCCCGGCAGGCAGAAGTGCTTCATGGTCACCAGCAGTTCATCCAGGAAGTCGTGGTGGTACACCACGTCGGCTGCCAGCACGTAGTCGTACCGGTAGATGGAGCGGGGGTATGACTGTTCCAGGTCCTGCTCCCAACAGAGCGCAGCCACCTGAGGGGTGTACTTGCAGTGCCCCCTAGTGTTTCGATTCAGGTTGCAGCACAAGTTACCAAGGATTTCCGGCAGGTCCGTGGCTGTCACCGAAGCCCCTGAGAGCCAAAGCGAATCCTCAAGTACTCAATACCCATAAATGCTCTGTTACCATAACAACAAAAACATACACAGTAATCTAATACAGAAAGCTACCCTAATTACCCTGAATATATCATTATCAGTAGTGACAGGAGAAATGAGGTATAATCACAGGCTCTATTTGACCGATTGGTCGGAACTAAAGAAGTCCCCAGATGTTGTTTAATTCTCATTTGTGTGTGCGAGTGTGTGCCCTGCGATGGACTGTACTGCCAAAAGTAATTTCTGCTCATCAACCCCGAACCAACAACTGCTCTGTTTCTTATAGTCTTGCCACTTTGTCTTTTTTGAGATCCTATTGAGCTATGGTGCTGGGGGGGGGGCAAGGTAATGGCTTGATGTAAACCTGCATGATGTACAGAGAAAAGTGATACTATGATACTTTACATACTATGTTATAGTGTACTGTGTTGTACTGTACTGTGTTGTACTGTAAATGTGGGCAGTGGTGGCTTAATGGTTAGGGAAGCGCACTTGAAATTGAAAAATTGCAGATTCAAATCCCGACCAGCAAGGCATTACTGAGGTACCCTAAGCAAGGTACCGTCCCCAAGTACTGCTCCCTGGGCGCTGAATTAGCTGCCCCCTGCTATGTCACGACATCACATATAGGTTAAATGCAGAGTTCATTGTCCCACGGTCACCTCGTCTGATGATGCACATGTGTAAGGTGAACTGACAAAAAGGACTGAATTGAACCAAATTTAATAGAGGACTGGATGAAACCCTTTGAGGTCATACATGCCTGCATATTTCAAAGTTGAACTAAACTTCTCAATATAGGTAAGGTTCGATATTTTAATCTTTGAGCTAAGTTATGCTCTGCAGCACTTGTAACTACGCTAATAAGCTCTCGTTTGAAATGCCAAAGATGAGGACAGGAAGGTGAGCTCACCAAGCAGGCAGGCCACGATGGACACCAGGCCGGTCCCAGCACCAATCTCCAGCACTGTCTTGTCCAGGAGGTCAATCTGCTTGCGATTGTTATCGAGGAACTGACACAAAGCCAAAGCCTGCGGCCATATGGTTATCATTACGGTAGCTATTCCCAATCTGCTTCCAAATCAGTCAGCAGTGCCTCTGAACGCTTACAGGCAACCTGAATCCTAACTAATTACTGTTTCCTTCTCATACATAGACCCCTTGGACAAATTCCTGTACCAGGAATCTCACATCTAGTCTCCTGACTTCAGTGATTGTGCAGACTTTAATTCCAGTCTATTCTTTTAGTCTGTAAGATCTAATGAATAGTTCATAACATGTATTATTTATAACCACGTTTTAAAGTATTTGGTACAACAAGTATAACGTGGTACATATGTGCAGGGGTGTAAGACAACAAAATACAAATACTCTCGTTGCTCTAATTGAGTTGTTTTTTTTTCTTCAGAATTTGCACTTAGTTTAAGACTGGTGTACTTTTACTTACGCATCAAGTGTTGTAACAGTACTTTTCCTCTGCTACTTCCCTATCTATAAATAGCTGTAAATATAGACAACATGATTGCCCTACGGAGCAGGCTGTGCCATAGCATACAAGCCCAAGCAAGCAGGTCCGAAAATGCTGCGCATGCATAGACGTGCGAGGTACCAATCGGGTAGGTGGTACGGACTGGGTATTGTACTGCGACTACAGGACCTGAGTGAACCATGGATGTTAGTCGCGTATGCTCCTGTGTTGAAAGCCAAATACAAAAGCAACTAAACCTAATTTAAGAATGACTAAAGCTAAAAACGAACTAAAAGCAAGCCAAATACAAAAAAGAAAATTAATGGTATATGTTCAGTTCCTGTGAGGGGCTAAATACAGACAATTTAATCGTGGCTGTCTTCGATATCTATAATGACATAAAGTCATCAGGTCGTCCACCCATAAATGATACGGTAAATAATAATAATTATAATACAATAATAATAAAAGTAGCTACATATGGTACTCAAGTCTAGCTGTATGGTACTCAAAGGAAATGAACTTGTGAAGCCATGCAATGTTTTCGCAAGAATCACAGAGTAGTAGGCCAATGTGCGTTCGTCGTTATGAACCACTGTATTTCACTCAAATTTTTAATATACAGTAATAAGCTTTATGGCAGTCCGTTCGTAAGTACGAGTTTTCTGTAAGCTGAATGTTCTTAACCTGGGGACTGCCTGCGTTCTTTCCTCCTTGCAAATTGGGTTGCCAACATCGTCCCGTGTACTACAGGATGCAGCATGTTCCAATACGGAATCGTCCCATATTAAATAGGACAGCTGGCAACTCTACTTGCGAATGATAGATGGAGAATACAGGGTGGCCAACTTCAGTCAGCTGGCTGCAGTGAGATGTTCGAGACAGACAAGTCTGCACACACATGCACACATATTTACATGTATGAAACAGATTTATTACCTTGTAAATAGTCTGAATGGCTTGCAAACTACCTCAATGCTTTTGAAAGTAGCTAAAGTTAGATTTATAATGGAATAATACAGATTTGCCGTAAGATTTCTTGTGTGAGCGTGACGGTCTGAAAGCGTGAGTCTCACGGCAGATGCATGAGATTTGGCAGCCCTGAGAATAGATACTTAGTCGCACCGATTTAATTAAGAGGAGCGGTTGCAGAACTCACCGCTGGCCAAATAACGGCACCGAAAGAGTCCAGGGACTCATAGATGTCAATGGTGTATCCCACGAAGGAGTGACGCTCTTTGCTGATGGTGCAAAGCACGCTTGGGACCCACACACTCTTTTCCTTGGGGGCTGGATCCTCTTCCACTTCTGGCCCAGCTGGACACGGAAGGAAACATAGCAGGTAACAACAAGCCCCTACTGCTTTCAAGTCACAAGATCACAACACGAGGAATTAGCATTACTGTACCAATGATCATGATACAACCATGCATAAAGAGCACATCAGATCATGCTTGTCTATTTAAACAACCCTAAAGTTGCTCAGCACAGTGGGTCTGTATCTTCTCCATTTGTTGATTAGAACATTTTATTGGACTATACGTTTTATCACCTATACATTTCCTGCAAATTTCAGATTTTTTTTATTGTGTTTGTGTTTATTAATGAATGGATTTCCATGTTTATTTTAATTTTTTCATTGACACAATAATAATCCACAATAAGTCCCTACCAGCCACTGCCAGGTTTAAATGAATACAGTCATCAGGATGGGTTATACCAGTCTGTTACTCACAAATATAATCCCACTCATCCTTGCTTCTCCATGATGGCTACCTTTACCTCAAAGTATACCTCACACAATTCCTAAGACACTACCTTTAGATCCAGCTTCATTCTCACAAATAGTGCAAAGTCATATCACTCATCTCTTGCCTTCATCTTTCATCTCTTCGTTCTTTTCCTCCGTTTCACTTGTATCTGTATCTTCTTCCCCCTGCACCTCCTGCTTTATCGAGCTGTCTGTCTCTTCTTGGCCACTCATTGCATGCAAGGTTTCCGTAACGACCAGCACACCCTGCAAGGACAGTGGACGACTTTTAGCTGGGTCTGTGAAGTCTTGCCTTTGCCCTCATTCTTTAATTTTCTGTTTATTCCAACCTTAATCAGCCAAACAATTCTCAACTGAAGACTCTAGCACCTGTAGGGGTGGATTTGCCTTAGTCCATTTTAGTCTCTAAAACATGTAAAGACATATAAACACATGAATAACCTCTGAATCCCTGGGCAATCAGTCATGTGGACAGCTTTGCCAGAATTCCAAGGGAATGGGTCACGACTTTTTTTGAGACACTGGTGACAGGGGCAGTTTCAGGCAACCAACTGGTGGTACCTTCTATCTGTCCAAGAACTACCTTCCTTTGCCTCCTTCCCTCTCTCACTGGCTAAAGACTTCACTTAAACTCTACTTTACCTAGACTCTAATTCCCCAGAGCCCAGGATCCTAATATTGACTGAGGGGGGGTGAACCTGAAGTAATCAGTCCAAAAAGTCATGGATATCCATGTCAAACCCGAGAAGCCATGCAACACCGCAGCACTCACTGCGCTCCCTGACTCTCTGAACTGATTTAATAGTTTTTTATGTTTAATACAACCTTACCAATCTACTAACCCCAATGCAGTGAACATTCCCTTGTTTGTAGGCAGCATAACCTGTATGATAATGCTGACCATACCTAACTGACCCCAGTTTAATGTCTTGACCTCCCTTTCCGATCCCCTACAAAGAGTCCCATCAGAATCTACCCCCCAGCAGACGTTGCATGCTGTGGCAGCGTCCATTCATGCAATAGCTGCGTCCACTGCACACTCATGATGCCCCTGCACACAACACCCCAGCCCCCGTTACCTGTGGAAACCCAGCCTCTTGGCACGCCAGTGATGCAGTACTGATCTTGCATCCTGCTGCAGCTCCCTCCTGAGTTTATAGACCAACAGCATCCTCCCAGACCCTCCCTTCATCGCATCAGCTGTGCCTATATTTAGCATTTTGGGCAAAGACACAAATTGCCACGACTATTTCAAATAGAGAGAGGGAGAGCCCGTACTCCAGTCCTTTCGGCAAACTACTCCACTCCAACCCCCACCATCCAGGCTTCACAAGGATGTATTTTTTCAGAGGGATAAACCAAGAGATAGAAGGAGGCTTGTATGCATGAGCAACAGAAAGCAAAAGCTTAAACTATGTATGACAGCATTAGAATGAAAAATGGAACCTACATTTTCATCAACAGAGCATGTTTGGATTTCTTCCATGTGTTTCCAGATCGGATCTTTGGCATCCCGAGCATCAGTTCCCGTTCCCGTGAGGTCCGGTTGCATTTTTTGGAATCTGCATCTGCATACATGTGACAAACACATCCAAGGAAAGATGGAATGTTCATCCTGTGTTATTATTTATGTCCAGTGAGCTCAGGCGTGGTGGTAGCACAGATTACCTGGACTGTGCAGGCTTAGAGGTATCCTTTTATGGAGCTACAGTCAAAATAGAGGCAATAAAAATCCTTCCCACCCCACACCCTCAATAGGTGTTGGACATGAGTCATCCAATCTGCCTTCGACCCTGTGTTGATTTAAGATTAATGAATTTATGTCTCTGGGGAGTACTGTGATCCTGTAATTATTAAGCACCAAGATATCGTTTTAAGTTATAATATACCAATACTTTTTATTGTCGCAGAGAAGTCTGTAGAATTATTAGAAATTTTCCAAAATTAAAATTTCGTTTATTTTTTTTTTACCCCAAATTTAATGCCACAAATTCTGCATTTTTTAAAATAAGATTTTCCAAAGTAATCAAAAACAAGATAAAACAAAAAGGGAAATTAGCCAAAAGCATGTAGGCATAAAATAGGCTATTTATTAATAATTTACACCAAATCTTTTAATGAAATATATGAAAATAAAAGTTCTTTTTAAGAGCTGGAAATTTCAATAGATTAACAGCACAACAGCATAGATGCACACGACAGATGGCGTCATCTTTAAACCTGCAGCAGCAGTGAAGGGGAATGTGTTGTCTTAGATATTTTGGGACTCTGCCGCCTAGGTCATCAATATGGGCCTTTTATATAGTCTGGGATGAAAGCAAGGTAATCCACACTCAACACCTGTTTTATAAGCAATAGAAAATGGGTGTAGAATAGGATGCAGTTAAGACTGCATGCACCAGTCGGACACGAGACAAAGCGAGATTGCATCCCCACACTGAGGGGTTCACGTGAGCAGTGCGTGCCTGAGAGCCACCCACTGGGAGCGTAACATGCAATCTTAAAGGAAACGAGTTATTTTAGGGCACTGGCAGTCAGGCATCCCCGGTTACAAAGAAAACAGCAGGAACAATAATGTCATGTTCAGTATCAAACACCGTGACAGCTGTACAGCTTAAACCATTAAACCCAACACCATATTTTGGAACCATTAATACAAAATACGATTCATTTTTAATACACGTATCTGGAGTCTGTGGCATATCTGATTGCCGTATTGTATTCCGATCCGAGCTAGTCTAGTCCGCGCAGCAATCCCCATATTCCCATCCCTCCTGAGGACTTAAAGGCACTTATCAATTCATTCTATGAGAAATTTAACGAACGTGGGAATTTGAGTCCTTCCGATACTAAAAATGGTCTTAGGGTTATTATTCAACGGAGGACGACTGCCATTGTAATTAGGCGACTGGTTTTGCTGCATGAACATAGACAGCACAACTAATTACCTGTTATTTTTTATTTATTTATATATTTATATTTCATAATCAAGGAAATATTTTATCAAGGCAAATGAGAGCAACTGGGAAATAAGTCTGAACGTCTTGTTTACACTGATTTTTGATTGATGAGTATTGGTTTATGGGAATAAAATTTCGAATATTGACACCGGTAGAGCTAATGAGGAAAACAATTCTTGAGTTACTTGAGGTCCATCACTCAAAAGTTTTCAAACGTTTGAACTCAGCCAGCTTACTAGGGTTGTAGTGTCAATTTCTTCGTCCATACAAAGCAATACAGCAGCCCTGTGAAACAGTAAGACTTGAACCATCTGCCCTACGATCTGGTTCGAACCCTCCACTGTGTTTGCCTTTCCTGCAGACTTTGGTCACTATAGCATCAGTTTTCCACTAACTTGGGTATAATTAAGCAGTTTAGCACATGCTCTACAATGCAGCAGCAGCAGGAAAATGGTTCGCAAAGGCGATTTAGCCGGCAAATTGTTTTATTTAAAAGGCAATTATTGTGCGGCTTTTATATAGGCACAAGCATATAAAAGGAAATGCATGTGTGTGCAGCCACATATAGGATAACAGTATAGACAGTATTAGATAAATAAACTGCATGGCTGATGTAAAGAGCTACTGGTATTAATAACTCAGAATGTTGGGTGGATACCGAACAGACAGATAGGGTTCGGCAGCTATACAGCAGGTGGTAAAAATATCAGAACCGACTCATTAATTCACTGCCATAAGCAATGATGAAGAATACCGACTCCATACTTTCATCTGTTTGTAACTTTTAGAAATTGTGCCCCTTCTTTGAACTAGAACTAACACAGTAACCAAAAGCTCACTACAATTAGTATTTAAGATACATGACTCCAAGCTGAAAATTGCAGTATCACCAACTCTGTTATTGATTTATGCAATTTTGCAATATTATGACTAATTATACCTATTTACTATGGAGGGAAATTCACTGCACAATTAAGCAAAGCCCTCAACGCTTGCATGGCCGTAAACTATTAGCTATTAGCTCTGACGCACTGTTAAGTTACGAGATTTTAGTGTGTGATGTATGCAGACTAGGGTTTACTGTAGCTGCGTCTTTTCAGTGTGTAATTGGGGCACTGAGGAGCGACGTGCAGGACGAGCTAGCGAGACAGCCATACCCGCCCCCCGAAATGGGGGCTTTAAATAGATGATGGATGTGAGGGTCCTGTTTCCCTAGGAAGGCCAGAGGTCCCATTGCATTTACACATATTACCTAAAAGAGAAGAGCCACAACATTATGTCATACAGGTAACAGTGCCACTGGGTCGAGAGTCACATGGCAGACAGACTTTGCCCCTCGCGCATAGTGTAATGGTGTAGTGGATGCCTTATTTCATGATAAATAGAGTGAATATGGATGAGCAGAGAGCTCTGCTGGGTGCTTTACATCTCCTTTTGAAGCAGGATTGCTAACAGCTCATGGTTTATTCATCACAAGGTTATAAACACAGCAGCATGGAGCAGAGGTCAGCAATAATGTCAGCAGAGCAGACTCGGGGCGTTTTCACCTCGGGCTCACACAGGGGGCGGGTCACTCGTTACTCACCTGCCGTCACCTGGGAAACGACGATGCTTTCAAGCAGGCCTTAAAGTGGCAGTGATCACACAATCACTATCCAGTCAATCTGGAACCGTCCAAGGACTGCTGATCACATATGAGTAAAATGACTTAAGGCGATGATACATGAGGCAATTTTTGAGCTATGTTGCCGGGCAATTGACAGCCAGATGAGACAACGGGCAACTCATCTGGGGCTGGATGATCGCGTAAAGTTGCCCACTGCCAATCAAACAGTTTTTCAAATAGAAATTTGTTGCCCAATATCAATGGGAAAATTGCCCCGTGTGTCATCACCCTTATGCTTGATGTAATGCCTTTAACACTGATTTGGAAAAATGTACCTAATTTAATTTCCTGTTGTGCATTGACATTGCAACGTTGTTGTTACACATTACCTCACATATATTGTCAATATATATCCCATCCCTGCCACCCTGACAACCAATTTTCCTGACCTCTCAATAACCACCTCCTTTCATTGTCTCCACAAGCTGCCTAATACTGTTCCCAGCACAGCCTTCTCATGAAGACACCTGATCTCCTCCTATCCTCCATACTGACAGCTGCAGTATTACATAACCATAAGCAAGCCAACAGAAACCATAAAAAGTGTTACGCTTAGTCGTGTTTGGCTAATCCCACTTTAAATGCACTGTGCATTAACACGCTGCTGGGAGCTATATTCACCTGACCACAAAGTCACACACATGTGCAGGGGATTCAAAAAGCAATCCATAACAATCCCTGCTATGCTAAAAAAAGGAATTGGCCCAAGTGCTACTTGATATGCTAATTTCGCTAATCAAGTGTCAACCCCCTCTTCCCTTTGACACGAGGCCCACACTCTGAGGCGGAGCCACGTCCAATTTCTCGCTCCATCTCTGACGCACGCTCGTAGTTTGCCAGCACCCATTCCTGCCGTGGGCCGCGTTTCCCTGACGTGCCGCCCGCCACCCAGGAACGTTCTCCTCCTGACCAAAGGCCAGGCAACCCCTTGTCCTGCTTAGTCTGACAAGAGTGACTGACTGCAGCAGCTGCTTTGACATAACAGGTTCAGCCAGGCTCCAGGAATGAGCCCCGGGATCCCTCTGACCATAACACAGAAAGCAGAATGCATTACATCACTCTCCTATTATCAGCGATGCTGCAGAAATGCAGTTCTGCACCCAGCGCATTACAGCCACCACATAAAGTTTGCACCAAAACTTTTTTCCAAATGTTAAGCAGTCCGATAAAAGCCCTTGGTAATACGGGGCATTTGAACAATCGAAATTATAACACCAGGACTATAACAAACATCCAAGATTCTGGTGCTCAGATTAACCAGGATCTGTTTACTAACAGTAGCACACCTGCATCTAAAACTTAAAGGATGTACAGGTTGTCAAACTGCATAAACTGACATTTCATACTAGCTGAAAATGTGGTGTGTGAAGTAAAATGTAACCATTTCATTGGATCACTGTGTTGGACAACATGAGAGCCAAGTTACTTGAACATTTTTAAATCCATCCACTCTTAGGTATTGGTTTCTGCAGCTCAGCACCTCCACGATCCCAGAAAACACTCCCATTGGAGTTCGCTGACAGGGCAGCTTATGTGTGTAAATAATGAGACCGGCGAGGTGGAAAGTATAAGAGTGGATTTCCTTCAGAGGTCCGCAGCAGCTGTTCTTAATATCCATGACGACCAGGCTGCGGGGACCGAGAAGCACAAAAGGGGATTGAGAGGAGTCAGGCCAGCAGAAGGGTAGGGGGAGAGGACGGTTATGAGGTGGGGAGGGGGTGTCTGCACAGACAGGAAAACAGACTCGAGTAACAGATGCTAGCATACTAAGTAGGTCACGAGGAGAACTGGGCGAATGGCTCCGCATGCTTATTTTCAGACTTCTAGATGCTGCTGTTTTACATCTAAAAGCAGACAAGAATAGACTAAAGGAAAGAGATTTCATCGTTCCATTGTTTTGTAGAAAGCATACAAACATAAATATGGTTAAAAAAAGGATGTGGTACAACTGTACAATTTCATCCGTGCGGTCATTGTGCACCTGCACTTAT